GAGAGAGAGAGAGAGAGAGAGAGAGAGAAGTGGGTGGGTGTCGCGCGCGCGTAAAGTAAGGATTTAAGCGTGTTGGTCTTGCAACGCCGGCGCCCAAAATAGGGTCCAGCAAAGCACTGCACTTGAGCAGCTGCAGCTTGTATGCGCGCCGCACGAGCCCCTGAAGCTCCCTCTCGTCTGCTCACCGCCTTGCTGTACCGTCACCACCATCCCTGACGGCCTCCTGATCGCAGCCGACACCATGTCGCTCAACTAGATCTCATCGCAATAGAAGCCAGTGTGCACACCACTGCACCCTACGCACGACGAACATCTCGATCCACAGCCACCATGTCTGCCACCGCACACCCCGCTCGACCCCGGGCCACCTCGTACATCCTCGTCTCCTCCGCAAACCCGGATGAGCCACAAGACTCCAACTTTCCATCCGAAAACAATGCGCCGCCGCCTCGTCTTCGACCACGCTTCTACTTTCTCCTCCCGCTGGTTGCCGTGCTTGACATTGCGCTGGCGATTGTTCTTGGTGTGCTCGTGTTGCGCCAGGAAGCGCGTCGCCGCTCGCATCCTGACAATGCAGCACAGCTCGACGATGCCGCTTGGGAGCGCCGCAAGATCGTCGTGGCCGTGGTGGTCTTCTCGGTGGCGCGCGCTGCTGCGTACGCGATCGTGGGCATCAGCCGACGCATTCGGCAGCTCGGCGTAACCGTAGCCGCGATGAGCATCCTCAGCACGCTCTTCTACGTCTCGGTCGCCAATCTGCTCTTCCAGGCGCGCCCCAAACCCGACGTGCCCGACGCTGGCCTGCTCTCGTGGTCCGCGATGCCCATTCTCGCCCATCCGTGGCACTGGCCCGAGGCGTTCCGACACTTTGTGCCCACCATGCCCATCCTCGTGGGCTCGCAGCAGGCGTTGACGCTCTTCGAGTGGATCCTCTACATCGCCGTCGTAGGCGTCAAGGTCCCACCCGGCGGGAATCCGATCACCGCCAAGAGATGGCAACGCAACCTGGCGCAGGATCCCGACTTCCAGCGCGGCGTCGATGCACAGAGCCTGTATCACTCGGACGTCGAGGATGGCCAGCCCGAGGAGCAGGATTCAACGCCAGCAGCAGCAAGCGTGCACACGCATCAAGCAAGGGATGCCTCTGCTGCCTCCACGCACGACGACCCGGCCGATGCGAGCAGTCGGCCGCTCCTCGCCACCAGCCCCGCCCGACCTTATGGCTACGGCAGCACCGCCTCCGAGCCCAGAACGCCGCCAACAGACGCTGCGGCCCATCTGTCCCCGGCCGCGCAAACGGCGCAAGGGATGAGTCGAAGCGCGTCCAGCCGCTCCGGCATGTACTCGCGCTCCCCTGGCGCCGCCGAACTCGGCATGTCCTCGCACCGAGGCTCGGCGATGATCGGCGATGATAGCGGCGAAATCTCTGAAGACCACGACGACGACGAGCAAGGCGAGAACAGCGATCCGGACGACATTATCGACATCACGCCCAACCGTGCCGTTGCGCGCAAAGAGGCAAGGCTGCGACTCGCGCGTGCAGCGCTTCCCGAACGCAGGGCGTCCGTCGGTACGCTCTCGACGCTCAACATCTTTGGCGGCCATGCCAGCGGCGATAACAGCGGCTCGGAGGCTCAGCCACGAGGTGCAGCGCGTGCACCGGGCGTGTTAGCCGATGAGGCTGGAAGCCCGCTTGCCCGTACGGCTCAGCACGACGACGGCATGCCCGCCACGCTCATGACCGCCGCGCCATCGTCCGAGTCGAGACACGCTTCGGCATCACAGCTGCTGCCGTCGTCGAGCAGCACACGCTCCGCCTCGACACGCACGAGCTCGGCCAGCAAGGACCGCAAGTTCAAGCTGCCAAAGTGGATGAAGCCCGGTCGGAAAAAGTAGATCCCCCAGCTTTGGCAATGGCAGAGACGATCTGAGCATGAATCGGCGTGTGCACGAGCCTGATGAGTGAGCGCATCGGGCGCGCCCCAAATGTGGAGTTGCGTCGGCTCATTGTCATCAGCTCAGCCGGCAGCCAAAAAAGCCAGCCAAGAGCAGCGCTCGGTATCTCCGGCTGAGGAATTTTAAACCAATAATGGCACCATGGCTCGTGCCTCGTCTCTTTTCGCCCGCTTTGGACGCACAGATCGGCGGATCTGGATTACGGAGCGCTCTCCTGCCTTCTTCCACTTCCGATTCCACCACCACATCCACATCATCCCCCCCTTCGAACGTCGCCTGCGCCTAGCCTCGATAGCCTCGATCGCCAGTGCGCTGCCCGCTCGTGTCCGTCAAGATACCTCGTCTCGCGCTCCCACGTTTCCAGGCTCTGCCGCGTGCGCTGCCTGCCTCGCGTGCCTTCTCCACCGCCGCCCTCGCTGCTGCTGCCCCCGCACGCTCCGGCCTGCGCTCCTCCAAGCTGACTCGCACCACCGCCGCATCTCGTCTCGAGCAGACCACCACCCACCTCGCCTTCTCCACCTCCTCGTCTGCCAGCATGCCGCCTCTCGCCAAGCCCTCCACCAACCACTACGACATGGTCGTCATCGGCGGCGGCTCCGGCGCCATGGGCGTCTCGCGCCGCGCCGCTGCCTACGGCAAGAAGGTCTGCGTCATCGAAGAGGACGGCCGTCTCGGCGGCACCTGCGTCAACGTCGGCTGCGTGCCCAAGAAGCTCATGTGGCACGCCGCCGACATGGCCGAGCACCTCAGCGAGGCGCCCGAGTACGGCTTTGGCGACGTCAACAACAAGCCTGCCGTGCCCGGCTTTGCGTGGAACTACTTTGCCGAGAAGCGCGACGCGTACGTGCGCAGGCTCAACGGCATCTATGACCGCAACCTCGACAAGGACGGCGTCGAGTACCTCTCGGGCCACGGCAAGCTCACCGGCGCCAACGAGGTGGAGATCACCATGCGCGGCGAAGACGGCAAGTTCACCGCGGGCACGCACAAGGTGACGGGCGACCGCATCGTCATCGCCACGGGCGGCCGACCCATCATCCCCTCGGACGACAAGATCCCCGGCGCCTCGCTCGGTGTGGATTCGGACGGCTTTTTTGCGCTGCGCGAGCAGCCCAAGCGTGTGGTCGTTGTGGGCGCCGGCTACATTGCGGTCGAGCTTGCGGGTGTGTTCAACACGCTCGGATCGGAGACGCACCTGCTCATCCGCCACGACACGTTCCTGCGTCCGTTTGACCCGATCATCTCCGAGACGCTGCAGGACCACATGTCCAAGACCGGGCTGCGCGTGCATCAGAAGACCAACATCACGCGCGTCGAGGGCGAGCGCGGCGGTCCGCTCACCATCCACACTGACAACGGCAGCCCCATCGAGGCCGACTGTCTGCTCTGGGCCATCGGTCGACGCCCCAACACGGACAACCTCGGTCTCGAGCATGTCGGCGTCAAGCTCGACCAGGGCGGCAACATTGTGGTTGACAAGTACCAGAAGACGAACGTCGACAGCGTGTTTGCGATTGGCGATATTCAGGGCAAGGCGCTGCTGACGCCCGTGGCGATTGCTGCTGGTCGCAAGTTGAGCAACCGCCTCTACGGTCACGCATCGCTCAAGGACGACCATATGGACTACACCAACATTCCCACCGTCATCTTTTCGCACCCCACCTCCGGCACCGTCGGTCTGAGCGAGCCGGAAGCCGTCGACAAGTTCGGAAAGGACAAGGTCAAGGTGCACACGTCCAAGTTCGTCAGCATGTACTACGGCATGCTCGAACACAAGGCGCCGAGCGCGTTCAAGATGGTCGTCGGTCCAGGAGACAAGGTCGTAGGTCTGCACATTGTAGGCTTGGGCGCGGATGAGATGCTCCAGGGCTTTGCTGTCGCCGTCAAGATGGGCGCCACCGTCAAGGATTTCCAGGAAACCTGCGCCATTCACCCCACCAGCGCAGAAGAGGTCGTCACCATGGTTCCCACCACCCACAAGCCCTGAGCCCTAACCCACCTTGTAACTTGATGCAGCGAGCCAATGATCAATCCAAGCGCCCCTTGTGCGCGGTTTCACTTTCAACCATCACTCCAGCGTGTGTGTTTGTGGTTTTGGTCATCATCATCTTCTTCATCGCACGCCAACGTGAACATGGCATCCGGCCTAAAAATCGTCGCGGTTGACGGGGTCGCCGGTGATAAAGACCCTGGACAGTGGTCTGCGCGTGGGCTGTTTGAGTCGGAGCGACTTGCGTCCGCTGAGGGTGCCGTTGGGATTAGCCGACATGGTGGCGTAGATCGAGTCTCTGCCGGCACGCGATGCGACCGAGCCAAACCGCGTGCGTCCGATCGTTGCCGTATCCACCTCCTCCTCCTCCACTTCCGGGGCGGGGGAGTTTCGCACCACATTTCGGATCCTGCTCGGCGACGATCCCGCCTCATCACGGCCATGCTGTGCCGCCAGGGCGTTGGCGAGCTTACGACCAGCGGCGCCGGCACGCAGCTCTTTGATCGCTTCGTCCAGCTGCCCGCGTCCGCGATACGACCGGCGTCCGGCCTCGTACGCACCCCGCTCCGCCTTGAGCGTGGTCTTGTCGCCACCCTCGTTGGCAAGGCTGGCATCCGCAGCCATCTGCGCAGCAGCCGACGCTCCCCACGACCGGAAGCGAGATGCGGTGGGTGTCGCCTCGTTGACGGGCGACAGCTGGTCCGTCGCCTCGAGCATCTCTTCCGCACTTGTCGGCTGCGGTCCGCCCACCGCGCCTCCCACCTCCGCCTCCGCCTTGCCTGGTGCCGCACCCGCATCGCCCTTCTGCACGCCCAACGGCCCGCGCACCTCGGGTCCGAACTGTGGGATACGCATGCCATACAGACCCTTGCCGAACGCCGCCTTCTGCTTCTTCTGCTCCTCGAGCTCCGCCTTGCGATCCGCCTGCAGCGTGTCCTCCTCTGCGCGCATAAGCGCCTGCCCGAAACTGCTCACCAGCCCGAAAAAGTCCTCGGGCTTGGTCTGCGTCGGATCCTCGCCAAAGTAGCTCAGCAGCTGGCTCAGGCTCGTCTGGATCGTGCTCCCCGCAAGCTGCAGCGCCTTGATCTGCGGCACCGACTGGCGCAGGAACTCGGCGGTGACCGTGACGAATCGGTCGCTCTGCGACGAGATGCCGATCCGATCCAGCGTCGCCATCTCGTTTTGCATCGCCTCGTGGCCCGCCACCAGCGCGGCGATCGACTGCATAATCGCCTGTGTCGACAGCCTCGCTGCTGCCTCGACATGCGAGCAGTCGTCCAGGAAGCCCACCAGCGTCTTGTCCGTCTGGTTGAGCACGCGCACCAGATAGTGCAGCAGCGTCGGCGTCCCCGCTTTCGGTTGCGATGGCTTGGTATCCTTGAGCTTGAGCAGGTCGCCCAGCTGGAAGCCCGCCGCCTCGCCACGGAACGTGGCCGAATTGAGCACGTTGCCGATGGTCAGCACCGTATGCAGCACCTTCTTAAACTTGGCGCTGGTGTTCATCTCGTCCGCCGCATGCTTGAGGATTCGCAGGTCCGGCTTGAGCTCCTCGAGATCGAGCTCAAACTTGCGCATGTACACCATGCACGCCAGACGCTCCGACAGCCGCGGGATGCCCAGCATCTCCTTGAAGAACTGGTCCGCCTTGCTCAGCGCGCCCACATCGCCGTCGTAGTCGCGCACCAGCTCCAGCTCCTCCGTGGTGGGCAGACACGACTTGATGCTCTTGAGATTGTCCACGCTCAGCTTCGTCTCGTCACACTGCAGCAGCGCGATGCGCAGTTCCGGGAACGGCACCTTGATCCGCGTCAGCACGATCGACACGTTCTGCGCACGCGTCAGGTCGAGCAGCGTCGTCGGGTTCGCTTTGCGGCCCGTCTGCTTGGCGTCAGGAACCGCCGCCGCCGGCCTGCTTCCGATGGAAAACAGTTCGTCGATCCGCTCGATTTCGCGATTCACATCCACGCTTGCTTCGGGCATGTCGTTCCAAACCGTGCGCGAGAGCGAGTGGGCCGGAATCTTGTTCCAGAAGAGTGCCTTGCGCTTCTTCTTTGGGATAAGCGGCAATGCGGGCGGCTTGGGTGCTCCCAGCATTCCCGGTGGTGGCGGTGGGACGAGCCCAGCGGGAGGCGGCGGAGGAGGAGGAGGCGCACCAGCGGCGCCGCCTGGAGGAGGAGGCGGCGGCGGTGGTGGTGCTCCGCCTCCAAGCGCGCCCATGCTCGCACCGGGAGGACCAGGCGGTGGCGGAGGAGGCGGTGGTGGCGGCCCGGGCATCGAGCCTCCGAAGCTTGGGGCAGCGTGCATGCCCGGCGCAGGCGGAGCTGGAGGGGGCGGAGGAGGTGGTGGTGGTGGTGGGCTTCCCACTCCTGCCGAGAAGCTCGGAACAGCTGGCGGTGCTGGAGGAGCTGGCGGTGGTGGAGGGGGTGGCGACACATCCGCGGAGCCTGGACTTTCACCTCCATTGACGATGCTCTCGCCATTGGGTGTTGGTGCGACTGCATTGGCGGAGGACATGCCAGGCTGAGCCGGGGGAAGCGGTGCCGTACGGTGACCTGCAGCCGCGGCGGGAGGAGCTGGAGCACCAGGCGGTCTCGGCGCTTGGCGATGAACGGTGGCAGCACGGGCCAAGCCAGCTCCGGCTCCATCCGCGGCAGCCGGCTGGATCTGGAGCTGGAGCAGCAGGGCCTGCAGCTTGGCCATCTCGCTCCTGAGCTTGGTGATCTGCTTGTCCTTCTCCTCGAGCTGGGTCCGCAGAGCCTCGGTCTGGTCTTGCGAAGCGGTCGCCTCGATCGACTTGAGCGCCTTCTCCTGCAGCTTGGCGACGTCAGCTCGGAGCTCCGAGATCTCTGCGTCCTTCTTGCTCAGCGCCTCGATCGTGCGGCGTGCCATCATGTCGGCTTCCATCTCGGAGTTGGCTGCTGAAGAACCTGATTTGGACGACTCCTGCTCCTTGTCCTTGGCCTCGGCCTCTTCCTGAGCCTGCGCTAGGCCGTTCTGGAATCGACCGTACACGGCTTCGAGAGCGCGCTTCAGGTACTTGATCTCGCGCTCTTTCGCCTCGACATTCGCCTCGGCGCCGGCGAGTTGTTCCTTGTGACGAGCGATCTCGTCCATGAGGTTGGTCCACTGTCGGTTGCGCTCGAGGCGATCCTTCTTGGCCCTGTCGTCGCCATCGGAGCGATCGTTGGGACGTGCCGCAGACGAGAGCCGATCCAACTCCTCCTGCAGCTCGATCACCTGCTTCTCCTTGGCCACCAAACGCTGGATGACACCGGCAAAGTTCTCCTTGTCGCCGCGCTTGGGAAGAGTGGAGGGCGTGCCTGCGGGACCATTCTCAGTGTCGGGTGACTCCCTCCGAAGTGCAGCGGCACCCGGCAGGCTCCTCAGCGTGATGACCTCGGCGGTCTGTTCGTTGAGCTTGGTCCTCAGCTTGGCCTTGTCGTCGCTGAGTTCCTCCACCTTGGCTCGCAGACCCTCCAGCTCCTCGATGAAGCTGCTGGGCACTGTGCTGGTGTCGCTCATGCGGTTGGCCTTGATCATGGCTTGTTTGCCCACCAGGTGCTGAATGTTGGCGAGGTACGCGCGCATGAAGCTGCGCCATCCTTCATCAAAGTCGGCGACGTCCGCGGAAGACTCGACGTACTTGTCGACGACAAAGAGGAGGTCGGTCTTGAATTGATGGTCGATGTCGCGGTCGAGGATGTTGGACGTGTGGCGCAGGATCGAGATCATGATCGGATATAGGTCCTCGTGGTCGTTCTGCGACCGGCGGAGGATCTCGCCGGCTTCGCCGAGGTGCGAGATTGCTTCACGATCGCGCTCGCGCTCGCGGTCGGACAGATGCAGCGCGCGGTCGTGCAGCTCGTCTTGGTCCTCCTGCTTCTCCTCAACGTAGACCTGGATCTGTGTGGCGAGATTCTCTGGCGGATCGACGTATCGGAGGGACACGAGCACTTCATTGAGGCCGCGACGCGCGAACTCGTCACGAAGCGAGATTCTTTCTTCCAGGTCCTCGGGACTGTTGGTGATGGCATTGACGAGCACCATGGCGGCCGCCTTGTACTCCCATTCGATCGCCTCGCTCGCGTCCGAGTCGTCAAGATCTGCGCCCTCGAGTCCGTCGCTGGAAGCGTGAAGCTTGAGGTCCTCCACGAGGAAGGCAAAGCGGTATCGTTCTCCCGAGACCACTTTGAGCTCCGACAGCGCTCCACAAACCATGCGATGGCCATCTTCGAGGGAGAGGACACAGAGGGCTGCCAGCACGTCGGCGACCTGGAGACGCAGCTTGTACGATGGAGAGCGCAACGCGAATGCAATGTAGTTGACCAGATTGGGCTGCTCCAGCACCCTCTCGAATCCAAGCTCGATGTTCATGAGCGTGCGGAGGCACTTGACTGCTTCGAGGAGGATGGCGTCCGACATGTCCTTCCGCTCAGCGCTCTTGGCTCGGTTGATGTCGAGACCTTTGACGATCCCGTCGGTCTCTTGCTGCATGATGTGTTCGAGCGCACCGAGACCGTCGCAGTGCAGGAAGCTATCGATCCAGGAGAGCTTTGCGCTACTGAGCGTCACACGCAGCGAGAGCAGATGCTTGAAGAGATCCTTTCGGCTGGGCTTGCTGTCCTTGAGGCGCGTGACATGGTTCATCGCCACCTGTCGCTCATCCGATGAGCCGAGTTGGTCGTGTCCGCCCGCGGCCGAGATGGTGCTTCCGCCTCCCCACCAATTATTCCACAAGCTCGCGGTGACACCAGCGCTGCTGCCGGTGTGGTTCGCTTTGATCGTGTGCTCGCCGCCATTGAGCGCCTTGGAGTCGAGCGAACCAAGCGAGCCGGTGTCAGACAGCACCGTGGTGGGACGAGTGCTTTCGCTGCCTCGGCTGGAGGCATCGCCAGAAACGCTCGCACGCGGGCTGGACGGACCGTCAAAGTCTTTGTGCGAGCCCGAGCCTGAGCCGTGAGTGTCGCTGGTCGCCCATGTGGCGATGCTAGAAATGCTGAAGCGGTTGGACCAGCCAGCAGGGATGATCGAGTTACGACCCATGGTGTCGGTACCCAGAGTGGGGGACACTGGTTTGTCGCCCTGCTGTCCCAGAGAGGCTCGAGGTTTCGAAGGTGTCGAGGTCTTGGCAGCTTCATTCTGGCTGATCAAGAAGCGCTTGCGATCGTTTGGAAGCGCCAACATGGCGGAGCGGCTTGTCCCTTTGATGCCGAGATCCTGCATGAGCTTTTCGAATCGTTTCTCGAGCTCGTCTGGATCGTCGAGCGCGGCGTGGGCTGGCGAAAGCTGATTGAGAGATCCAAGCGAAGGTGATGGAGACACGGTGCTGGTGTCGCTCTCGAGCTCCAGAGGACCGCTGACGCTGAACGTCTTGCCGCTTCTCCCGACAGTGCCCGGTTCCCGACGCACGGGCTGGTTCGGAGGCGTCTCGGGCATGGCTGCAGCTTCATCGCCAGCCTTGGGTGATGAGGGTGAAGCGGTCTCGGCGCCGCCGCCGATCCATCCTTCGAACATGCGACTGAGTCGTGCCGTGGCGGAAGGCGGCTGGTGCCTGCGGCCCTTTGGAATATTGATGGTGGATTCGTTCTCGTCATCTTGCGGTGTGGAGTGTGCTTCTGGGCCAGGAAGTTTGGCACTTCGGTCGGCAGGAGTTGAGGGTTTGCTACCCTTGAGCGTGCCTCCCGCTGCGTCGTCATCCTCGTCGTCTTGGTCGTCTGGCAAGCGTGTTGAGGCGAGCTTTACCGAGAGAGCGTCGAGCTCTGCATCGCCAGTGGATTGGGATGCCTGCGAAGCGCTTCTGGATCGGGTGGAGAACGTGGCTGGCAGTAGCGCGGCGGTCGCCTTGCTCACACTCGCCGATCCCCACAGGCCGAGCATACCTGATTTTGCGCTGGCCTGCTTGGTTGGCGAAGTGGACAAAGCGGGCTGGCTGCGGTCAGGCGTGGGAACGGCAGCGGGTACGCCGTTAGATCCTTGGCGACGGGCATGCTTGGAAAAGCCTTGAGCGACGGTGCCGAGCTTGGAGAGCCAGCTGGCGCTGATGGTGAACATGAGCGCAGCGTCCGAGGTGCTGGATCCCGCCAGATAGTTGGGCAGGGACGTTGTATCTGGCAGAGGTGCTGGCGGCGGCATAGGAGCTGGAGCCGAGGCTGGTGTTGAAGGTAGAGGAGCCAGAGCATAGACGACGCGGGCCGACTTGCTACCCTGAAGCACGACCCTTCGGATACCGAGCTCCTCGCAGACAGCCTCGACGAGCTCTACGGCGGTGGAGCCTACGCCAGTGGCACCGGGCGAAGTTGGGTCGGCAGGCAGGAACCACGAGCGCTGATCCCAGCCGTCGTAGATCTCGGGCACATGGCCAAAGCGGAGGCGGACTCGGAGTCCTGATGCGCCACAGACCAGACGAAGGCGAGGTGTATGGAGGTGCGAGGATAGCAAGAAGTCGGAGAAAGCGGTGGGCGACGACAAGTCGGGCGGAGGAGGCTGGACATCCCTGTCTTCGGCCGGTTTTGGCGCATCGACGAGGCTGCGGAGGAATGCGAACACGCCCGTGTGTAGTGGAATGATGCCGTCGTCGATGGCTCTGAGTTCTGGCTCGCTCCACTCGTAGTTTGGCGGTGCGGCTTGTACGGCCTGGATGCCCCAGAGCTGGCCGTTATGATCGATGAGCCATTTCTCTGAGCTTTCAAAGTCGTTGGAATTGGCAGACGGCCATGGCTGGAAGTGCGAGCCAAAGGCAGCTGTGAGGGAGTGTGTGTTGGTGCGGTCGGTGAGCAGTGCAACGATGAGGTCCTGGACCGAGGTGGAGGCCGACGAGGGTATAGACGCCGAGAGGATAGCGGCGTTGCCGGGGAGCAAGACCTGGAGCAGTTCGCGGCCGGCCATGGTGGTGATGATGGTGTCTCGTGAGGGTCGTAGACGAAGCGTGTGTAATGGGATTCAGTCGAAGGCGCGATCTCGAGGGGATCAAGCAGCCATGTTTGCGTGTGGGAGCGAGACGGCGTGCCGAGGAAGGCCGAACGAGGTTGTGGGTATTTCCGGAGCTCGGTGTGTGTTGTCGCAGGTGATGGTGTCGGGCGAGACAGCTGGTGATGAAGGTGGTGATGGCGATGATCTGACGTGCAAGTAGCAGCCGCTCGAAGCATCAGGAACGCCGCGGCCATGCGGCAAGCGGTGGGCCTCGCCCTCTATTTTTCACAGCGAGACAGGGTTCGGCCAGGCTGAAACATGGATGTCGGCTGCGGCTTGCCTTGCTAACACTCGGTCCGCGAGCCTGGCCTCCTCCGATGGGCTCAGTCGCAAAAGCGACCACCCGAGTGAGTGCCCGATCTGCTTCATGCGAGACGCTCCGATGGCAGAGAGCACACCGTAGCAATGCTAGCCAACTGCAGATACAGGACGCGCCCGTTCAAGTGTTGGTCTCGCTCATGATCAGCAGCGACCCTTTTCTCATTCGCGCGACTTTGGCGAGTCAGCCCATTCGATTGGAGACGCCTCTGCCAACCGTGTATGATCCCCATATGCTGGCGCCATCCCATCGCCAAGAGGGAGATGGCGTCTCGAGGGGCTCCGTGACGAGGCGGAAGGGACCAAGACGGGCAGGTTTGATTCGGGAGGATCGAGCTCCAGCTCCAAAGGGGAAGGTCGGCGTCAACCTCCACAGCAACACTGCCAGGGTGCGCGCGTCCAGAGGGTGTTTGGCTGCGAGCCCCTGTCTCGAATCTGTCGCGCTCAACCACGCGCCCCTCCAGACGCAACCGTGCTGTTCCGCACGAGAAAGTCGAGCTCTCGGAAAATGATCACGTGAGCTCTGGCTTAGGAAGAATCCGCCCGGCCCAGCTGCATCCATCGTGCAGAGCGAGAAGACACTTTTTGCCTCTAATCTTTGGCTGACACCATCCCATCTCCACCGCCCGGTTGACCCCATCGTAAAGCGTAATCACCGGCACCATGCCTCGCCGAATCCCTTCGCAAGTGCCACAGACCGTCTCGAGGCTGCTCGAGTCCGGCTTCCTCAAGCAGCAGCCGGCCTGGTACGAGGCAGTCACCAACCACCCACCCATGACCGTACCCGCCCGTCACCCGGTCAAGCGTCCCGATGAAGACCTGCCCGCGCGCCTGCGTTCGACAGCACAGACGGGTCTCGCCAAGATCGGCTCGTCGTCCAAAGCCGCCGCACCGGCCAACGCCAAGTTCGGTCGCGACACGACCAACTCGAAGAAAAAGTCACGCACCTTGACGCCTACGCTCAAGCCCAAACCCATCACGTACGACGAGGACAAGGTGCGACAGCAGTTCTACCGCGACCATCCCTGGGAGGCGTATCGACCCAAGACGCTCGTCGAGATGAGTGCAGAGGTCGGTAGCGAATCGCGCGTCAGTGGCGATGCCAAGCGTCTGCGTTCGTACGGCCGGGATCCCAGCGTCGAGGATGTGGTGGCATGCACCATCGCCGCCCACCGCCAGGGAGGACTGTCGTTATCACAGGCATACCACAACACGCTTTCGTCCTACCACGCCCTCAAGGCCGAGCACGAACATGCTACACGCTACGCTGCGCTCGAGGCGCGATACTACGGTGCGGACCTGGGCAAGTCCGAGACGCAGCGCGGATTCGAAAAGGAGGACAAGGCGCTCGAATCGTGGGCCGCATGGGCTGCAGGAGGTGCTCAGCTCGGCGATCCTGCCACGCAAGCCACCGAGGTGCAGCAGGTCAAGGCAACCAGAGTCAAGCGCACCGACGACACCTTCACCTCGGGTCAGGCATACCTCGAGGCGGCCAAGGCTTTCAAGGAGGGCAAAGTCAGCGCAGAGCGTCTGGACAGCGGCGCCGGTGCCACGGCGCAGCAGTCATCGGCTGGCGCAGCCGCAGGTGCACCCAACAATGCTCTGCCCGGCGACTCGGCAGACGACTTCCTCGGCCTCGCCCAGTCCACCATTCGCCCAACACAAGCACCAGCGAGCGAGCAACAGCCCGCAGCCGCGCGCAGCTGAGCAAGCGTTGATTCTGTAGACTCTCGCACTTTCCCGACGTTGCTGTGAGGGTTAGAATAGCACAGCATCTGGGTACCCGCCGTGTGATTTGTGCTCTCGCATACCTGAGAATGGGCTAGTGTGATCGTGCAGGACGCTGTCGATTCTACCAAGACCGTAAAACTGCTGGTATTATGACAGTGAGTCGTTCTGCGGAACAGATGTGAATGGCTTCAGGGTTGCATGGTCACCGAAAGGCTGTCTTCTGAACACGTAGGCTCCACCATGAAAGAGACTGCCAAACCCGAGAAAAGGGGTAAAAATGAAGGCGGAAAAAATGGCCAAATAAAGACGAAAAAAAGCATGAACTGCAGCACCTAGGATTCCCGCGTGGTCCCCCACCGCAGTACTGACTAGGCGATACCTTGCTTAACTTCGCAGATCGG